TGAATAAAAAGACATTAGACGAGAGTTTCCTTATGATTCACATCAGCTTTTTATATTAGATATTTGAAGTAATTAAACTCGTTTCTTTAGTCTTGATTAATGTCTTCGCGTTTGACACAATAAAGCTTTAGACGAAAACTTGCTTCTAATACACATTGGTTTTGTTTCATTCATGTCTTGTGTTTCAATGTTACACTTTTTTTTGGTACGTTGTAGCAAGCCTATCATGACCCGCAGGTCGGCCGTTTGCCTGTTTGACTATGTAATATGGGCTTGGACATATATTTAGAACCTGCGACAAGCCAGCCTGTATGGGTTGAAAAATTTTTTTGTCCGTTACGGGTTGGACTACTTGGACGCGGACTGGCCCATCTGACATCTCTAGCTGTCTATACTACGCTTCAAAAGTGTTATTAGTGACATAAAAAAAACAACATAAACAAATCTCTATCGGAATTAGGAATAGAGTGGCGCTTTTGATAAGTTACAATAGTTTTTCATCTATATATGAATTTATTACCATGACTGAGTTTGTTTCGAGTCTCTAAATGTTAAGAGCACAATTTTCATTTAAACCGAAACGCCAAGCAATAACTAGCATAAAAACTATGAGACAATTCATTATTTGGATCAAAACTATTTTGTGAAGTACTATGAATCTTTCTTTCTTTTTTTTTTATCACAAAGTACTATGAATCTAGATAACTTAAATTAGAGAGAAGTATTTATAGTTTCTTTTTTATGTTAATGTTTTTTTAATGTTTATATCAAATAACATTTTAAAGACAATAGTTAAATTTAAACACAAACATATGGGCCGGCGAAACCTTTTTGGTGGCGGAAAAAAGGCCAACCAATAGAATCAAAACAAAGAAATTAACTTTTCAAATTAATTTTAAGCACTAAATCGAAACCAAGTATTCAAGTTTATCTTAATCGAAAAGTACTCTGTAATTAGTTGTTATTATTTTTGAAAAGAAGATATGCATATTTTTTCCATGATATAATTATTATTGGATCTTTTCCTATATTAGCTAGAAGAAACTTAAATTCTAATATATATTAGTCACAAATATATGACATTTGCTTAAACAATAGTTCCTCCGTTTCAAAATGGTTAATGTTTTAAAATTTTCACACATATTAAAAAGATAAATTAATTTTAACTATAAATGTATTTGTTTTCGTACTAAACAATTTTAAATAATTTTAAATTTGTAAGACTTCACATGCCTGGAAGTTTTCATATACTGTATCCCTAAATATAACTATGATTACCTTGTACATCAACTTTCTTGCCTACAGTGGCTGCAGCCAACTTCAATATATGATGGTTCACCTTCAATGGCACGCTTGGTTAAAAGTATTCCACACCAAGAAAGTCTTTGGTCAACTCTTGTTCGTTATTCTTCGGCTTGAAACGATTGGAGTTTAGCATTGTATTGTTAGAGATGGAGGAAGTCATTAGCTCAAACATGGTGCTAATGTTTGAGTCAGATGATGATCCCATTTGAGCCGCCTTTTGAAGCAATGTTGTTGCTGACAAGGAAGCCATATGCCCATCTTGGTTATTCAAGCCATTGTAGTTCCCTTTCTTGATCTCATCATCTTGAGTCTTGGGTAGTTCCCTTTGTAGAATGTTTTTGTTGTTCATATATTCATTGACTTGCCACCGGTTTGAGCCCTCTCCTTGTAACTTCGATTGATTGTGAACCGAATCAGACGTAACATGAGGTGATTGAGGCGATGACAACCCATAAGCATTGGCTTGTAGTGGGATCTGGTCTGAATTGATGCTCGTTTGCCCCAATAAGGTGGTGTGATTGGGGACGGTCGAATTTTCGACTAAAGGTGATGGAATGGAGACGAAGTTAGCACTTGCTTCAGCTAAGGCAACACAAAAGGCTCTATGTGTGATGAAACTATCCTTCCTGGTCTCAGTCAATCAAATCATTCGTCAAAGAAAGTATATCAATATACAAGGGCTTTATAGAAATATGTGAAATGAGTCTCCTTGTATAATTAATAGATGTGTAACTCTATTAAAAGAAAGATTCATTAGACTATAAAATTGATGTATATATGCAAAACTTTATTTTATGGAAGTTTACTAGCGATGTATATATTAAGGTGGAAACATAAGCATTTTAAGTATTGAGACATGACCACATAATCTTCTAATCATGCATCAACCTTTTTCACCTCGATATTGGTGTCTCCGTAAAATTACTAATTGGACCAAGACAAAAAGAAGCCATGAAATAATTAACAACGGCAAGGGTATCCAAACGACAACAACCTAAAGAGCCAAAGACCACGTACTAGACATAACCTATGACCA